GGCCGGGGGTGGTGCTCTGCAGGGCCAGGGCGGGGCCTGTGGGGTCAGGGGCGGGGCTATGCAGGGTCAGGGTCAGGGGCGGGGCTCAGCAGAGTGAGGGGCGGGGCCTCACGAGGAGCAGCTACTCACAAAATGAGGGCCGGGGCTCTGTGAGGTGATGGGCGGGGCCTGGCTGAGAGGCGGAGCTTAAACCAGAGAGGGGCCGTGAAAGAGGGAGGAGCTAAGAAGAGGGCGGGGCTATGGGAGGGCAAACCAATGGGAGGAGGCGGAGCTTGAGCCACGCCCCCTCTGGGGGAGGAGCCAGCCCGGGGGGCGGGGCCGGGCCAGCAGGTGGGTGGGGACTGCGATATGCAAACGAGGCGGGCGTGGCCCGGCTGCGTTCTCCCGGCAGGCGTGGGCGGAGTACAAGGGGCGGCTCCGGCCCGGGGAGCCCCCGGACCCCGCGGGCTGGAAGACGCGGCTGCGCTGCGCCCTGGCCCGCAGCCCCGAGTTCCGCGCGCTGCCGGCGCGGGGCCGCGCCGACGGGCCCTGCCCCTACCGCGTGTACCGGGTGCTGCCCGCCCGCGGTGAGCACCGGCAGCGGGAGCGGGGCAGCGACGGTGGGGACGGAGAGCGGGGGGACACCGGAAACGGGTGGGGGGAGGGAATATGGGGGACACCGGAAGTGGGGAGGGCGCGGCCCCGCCCCCGCCGCCCTCCGGGGCCCGCACGCGCCGCACGGGCCGCTCCAGCAGGGGGCGCTGCTGCAGCCCTTCGACGCCCAGCGCTTCCGGGAGGGTGAGCGCCACTTCCGGTGGGGGGGCGGCCACTTCCGGGGGAGGGGAGAGCGATTTTTTGGGGGGGGAGGGCCACTTCTAGGAGGGAACTATGGGCAACTTGGCAACTTCCGGTGCGGGAGAGCGACTTCCGGTGAAGGGGAGATAACTTCCGGGGGAAAAGAAATCAACTTCCGGGCGGGAGAGAGGAATTTTGGAGGGGGCGGGAAAGCAACTTCCGGTAGAAGGGAAGAAACTTCCGGGGGGGCGAGTGAACAACTTCCGGGAAGGGAGAGCGACTTTTGTTGGGAGCGAGCTGCTTCCGGTGGGCGGGAGAGGAACTTCCGGTAGAGGGGACAGCAACTTCCGGGAGGAAAGGAACTTCCGGCGGGGGAAGTGCAACTTCCGGGAGAGCCCAAAATGGCGGCGGGGGGGAGGGGGCAGGGACCGAACCATCGTGAGGGGACCGGGGA